TTTAGGAACAAATGTGTATTCAAGTGGACTCAATTCAACCATTAAGACTCTATATATGGAACTTCCCTGGTGGTCCTGTGGCTAAGACTCCATGCTCCCAATTCAGAGGGCCCAGGTTTGACCCCTGGTCAGGGAACTAGATCCCAGATGATACAACTAAGAGTTCGCATGCCGCAGTTAAGAGCGCACGTGCTCCAACTAAGACTTGGTACAACCAAACAAATATAAACATTTTTAAAACTCTATGAGAAGGTTCTAAAAAGGTCACCCATCATCCCAAATGACAAAGCAGAGACCTCTGATAGTCAGGGACTCATATTTCCTTCCTGTTCCCCCACAGCAGTTTGCTCTGTTTGGTCGACCCCTTGAAAATGAGTCCAGACTCAGGTTTGACCTCTCTATTCCATGCTTATCTCAGGATGCCCATTCTTGCAGCTGGAGGCTCTACCACCACACTCATTAAGCAAGCATTTTAGTGGGAGTGAGCTCCCCTTCTGTGCTGTGAGCTTCTAAGGTTTAGCATTGATTCCACAAGAGACCAGCTTGGAGAATGAGATGAATCAGCTCCCATTCTGCCTCACTGCTGGCAAAATGCCTCTAAGAGCTTATAGCACCAGTCCTTTCACTTTTCTGCACAAAGCCTGGCACTTTCTGGCTGGGAATTGGTGATGCTGGTTCTGTTTCCTCTGGTGATGTCCTGGATATGTCTCTCCAGGAGAGATTGGGTTGGAAGAAGAAAGAATTAAGGTATTCAGGGGCTTCCCTGGTGGCTCAGTGGTGAAGAATCTCCCTCCCATTGCAGGAGGCACAGGTTCATTCCCTGATCTGGGAGGATGCCCATGTGTCATGGAGCGCCTAAAACTAGGCATCACACACGCCACAACCATTGAGCCTGTGCTCTAGAGCCCACAAGCCAAAACTACTGAAGCCTGCCTGCCCAGGAGCCTGTGCTCCACAAGAGTAAACCCTGATCACTGCAACTAGCGAAAAAGCCTGTGCAGCAACAGAGACCCAGCACAGCCGAAACTAAACAAATAAACTTTTAAACAGAGAAAGAATTAAGGTATCCAAACCTATAGTATGATCGTGGAGGAGGATTCTGCGAGTAGAGAAGGCTGCCCAGTCGAGGTTCCAGGCTGAGCAGGGAAGCTTCAGTCAGCCTCCTGCCTGACCCTGGGAATGGGGTCTGAGAGCTAACTTCCAGACATGGGAACACGCCGTCTGTCACTGAGGAGCAGGCACTGCTGGGTGTGGCCGGCGGGGCAGCACGCTCTCTCAGGCAGTGGACCCAGGGCTGACCACTGGCCAGCTGTGGGCTGTGGGGCATCTACAGGGTTGGTGTAATGAAAGGAGAAATCACTAGAGCGATTAGGAAAGTGAGGAGAGAGTCCACCCCCAGGATTTCCCTCTGCGGCCATGATGAAATTGGATGGGCATCTCTGTGTTCTTCCGTGGGATCTTAATGTTGACCTTTGCATTAAATCTCCCAGACACTTTCCTGAAGGCCAGCACCGGGCCTGTCAAACTTGCAAAGCATGCAGGACCCTCCTGGAATTCTGCATCTGTTTATTCCCATATGCTTGATCTTGCTCAAGCAAATGCTGATTGAAAACTGCTTTAAAGAAATATTTATTGTCCTCTACCCCAGCCACTGGAGATGGTCCTTCCCCACCCCCGTGACCTCGAGCTCAGACTTGTTTAGGCCAATGGGATATGAGCAGTGTGTGATTCAAACAGAGACTGAAATGAGCTTGCACCACTGGTCTCTACTTCTTGGCACCTCTGTGACCATCAGAAGAGCTTCTCAAGGGTCTCTGCTACCCCTTTGTCCTTGGGATGAACACATAGAACAGAGCTCTGAGCCACATCAGGGAACCCTAGGTTCCAAAGCAAAGTCACCCAGTCAAGCCTGGGGGGACCAACTGACTCCCAGCCATCCTGTAGAAATGTGAGTGAGAAGAAATGATTTGTGGCTGGAAGCCACTGTGTTTTAGGGTGGTTTGTTACGCAGCAACAGCCTACTGATACAAGAGCCTACAGTGTGCTGAGCTCCGAGTAAAGTAAGAGTGAAAATAACTCCTGCGACAAGTCTACAGAGGAAAGGGTACATGGGAAAGCATGCTATGGGAAGACAGAATCGGATCGGATAGGATGAGAGCTGGGAGCTGGAGGAGGGGCAGGGGGTGACTAGCAGGCAAGGAAGGAAAATCCAGGCAGAGAGGCCCTGGGACGATGCTTCACACAGGTGGGAGCTTGACACTTGGAGGAGCTGCAGCAGGGAGTTGGAGGAGCCAGGAGAGATGGGGGAGGGGGCATTCCTGTGGGCTGAAGGGACAGGTAGAAGGCAGACTGCCTAGAGCCTTGTGAGCACGTTAATTATTCTGATACACATTTTGCATATATCACTTCCATTGCTGAGTGGGAATCAGATTGGAGGAAAACAAGCAAGGCAAAATAATCATAGTTTAGCCATTAAACAAAGCCAGGAACCTTTAATTGCTCCTCAAGGACCACAGATAATATGCTTAGCCATGTCCTTTGATGTCAAAAAAGCAAGAGAGCTCCAGAAAAACATCTACTTCTGCTTTATTGACTATGCCAAAGCCTTTGTGTGGATCAAAACAAACTGTGGAAAATACTTAAAGAGATGGGAATACCAGACCACCTGACCTACCTCCTTAGAAATCATATGGAGGCCAAGAAGCAACCATTAGAAGTGGACATGGAACAACAAATTGGTTCCAAATCAGGAAAGAAGTAGGTCAAGGCTGCATATCGTCACCCTGCATATTTAACTTTTATACAGAGTACATCATGAGAAATGCTGGACTGTGTGAAGCACAAGCTGGAATCAAGATTGCCGTCCTGAATATTCATTGGAAGGACTGATGCTGAAGCTGAAACTCCAATACTTTGGCCACCTGATGCAAAGAACTGACTCATTTGAAAAAACCCTGATGCTGGGAAAGATCGAAGGCAGGAAGAGAAGAGGATGACAGAGGATGAGATGGTTGGATGGCATCACCAACTCAATGGACATGAGTTTGAGTAAACTCTGGGAGTTGGTGATAGACAGGGAGGCCTGGTGTGCTGCAGTCCATGGTGTCGCAAAAAGTCAGACATGACTGAGTGACTGAACTGAACTGAGCTGAAACTTTGAGCTATTTTGCAGATTCTAAAACCCCCACCATGACCTTTCCCGATGGAAAGTGAACGTGAAAGTTGCTCAGTCATGTTCAACTTTTTGTGACCCCATGGACTGTAGCCCACCAGGCTCCTCGGTCCATGGAATTCTCCAGGCAAGAATACTGGAGTGGGAAGCCATTCCCTTCTCCAGGGGATCTTCCCAACACAGGGATCGAACCGCATTGCAGGCAAATTCTTTACCACCTGAGATACCAGGGAAGCCCTCCCCGACGGCTTAGCAGGTAAACAATCCACCTGCAATGCAGGAGACCCAGAAGACTCGGCTTCGATCCCTGGGCTAGGAAGATCCCCTGGTGGAGAAATGGCAACCCATTCCTGTATTCTTGCCTGAAAAATCCCATGGAAGGAGGAGCCTGGCTGGCTACAGTCCTAAGGGTGGCAAAGAGTTAGACATGACTGTGTAGCTAAGCACATGAAACCCACAGCAGGTGGAAGATAACTGTATCCGGCCCATAAGCATACAGACCCCAGGCTGGCTGGAACCAAAAGGTTAATGATGCTAACTCCCACTTACTTCACCACTCACCAATCACAACCAATCAGAAGAATGTCCACAAACTGATCACAACTCCCCTCCCCTCCCCTATCTTTTTCTGGGTCTTCATTCCTTTGCTCTAGCTTTTTCTAGTTGTGGCAAGTGGGAGCTACTCTTCACCACGGTGAGCAGGCTTCTCATTGCCATGGCTTCTCTCGTGGTGGATTACAGGCTCTAGGGTATGCAGCTTAGCTGCTCCGAGGCATGTGGAATCTTTCCGGACCAGGGACCAAAGTCGTGACCCCTTCATTGGCAGGCAGATTCTCATCCACTGTGCCATCAGGGAAGTCTCAGCCTGTCTTTTAAAAAAAAAAAAACCTTTCCCTGAAAGCTTTTGGGGAGTTCAGGCCTTTTATGCACCAGCTGCCTAGACTTCTTGCTTGGTGCCTGCAGTAAACACTGAACTGTCCTTCACCACAACCTGGGGGCAGTAGCCTGGCTTTACTGTGAGTGGGTGAGTGAACTCAAGCTTGATTTGGTAACAGTGGAAACCCTGCTTCTTTCACCAGCTCCCAGGGCACCGGCGACCAAGTTTTCCCCCCAAAGACAAGAAACCAGAGGGATCTTTTGGGGAAAAACTAAATCGTCCAACAGCAAAGACCTATAGATTCTCACACTTGAGGGCCCTCAACAAACAAGTGCACTCCACCCGTGGATAAGCACCACCCCCACCCTCCCATCCCCCTGCTCGGGCCTCTCACTGCAGTGGTGGCTTCTCTTGTTGTGTTGTGGCATTCAGGCTCTAGAGCACGGGCTCAGTAGTTGTGGAGAAAGGGCTTAGTTGCCCCAAGGCATGTGGAATCTCTTTGGACTGGGGTCGAACCCATGTCCCCTGCACTGGCAGGCAGATTCCCAACCTCTGGTCTGTCGGGTTAAGTCCCTCCATCAGCTTTCTAAGCCTCACTTTCAAAGGTGAAGGGGAGCCAAGGATGGCAGATATTTGAGCAGAACCTCCAAGCTGCTCAGGATAGGTGAGATTATGATGGTACCAGTTCCCCAGAGCTCAGAGTCTTGACTTATCATCCACACTCCAAGTTCATCTCACTATTGGGAAGCCCTGCCTCCTCCTTATGAAGGGACCCAGACCAGCAGCATCTCCATCATCTGTGGGCTGCTATAGCAAAGAGAAGGCACGACCACTTCCCTACCAACTCTCTACCTTTACTAATAATTTTGCTGTTGTTTTTCAATGACCTGAAACTCACAGGAAAGTTCCAAGAACAATGTAAAGAATCTTTTTTTCCCTTGGACTTCCCAGGTGGTACAGTGGATAAGAATCTGCCTGCCAATGAAGGGGACATGGGTTTAATCCCTGGTCCAGGAGGATTCCACATGTTGCAGGGCAACAACAGCATGCGCTGTGATCCCATGCGCCACGACGGAGCCCATGTGCTGCGACTACCGAAGCCTGTGCTCCACAACTGGAGAGTAGCCCCCACTTGCTGCAACTAGAGAAAGCCCTTGAAGAGAAAGCAGCATTGAAGATCCAGCCCAACAAAAATAATAATAATAATAATGAAAAATTCCTGAATCACTTGAGTGTTCTGACATGATCCCTCAATACCCCCCCAAAACAAGGCTACTCCTCTGCCTAAGCACAACTCATCCCTTCAAATCAGGAGCCTCGCTTTGGGATGTGAACATAGCTAATCCTCAGACCCTATGAGTTCTGCCAGTCGTCCCAATAAAGGCCTTCAGAGCAGAAAGACCCATTTCAGATCACGTGTCACCTTTAGTGCTTGTCCTTTCCTACAGAGCGAGATGTTCCAGGCTCATTTTATGCTTGCCCTGCTACAGCGATTTCCCCAAGGAGCCCTGATTCCTTTTTCTGGAGAGGAAGATTTAGAAGCCAGGATCTGGGTATTCATTCTCACGGCCCTTGCCCATGTTGGACCCTCGCTCGGGGAGTAACCATGCAGGGCTGGAGTTGGAGGCCACAAGGCTCCAGAAGTGGAACTGGTGGATGCCTGTGTTGAGAGGGGAGTCACAGTTTTCTTGGGGATTTGAGGGAAGAATTAGTGATAGAAAATTAAAAGACAAGGCAATAATTAACTACAGGAAAAACATAGCAAAACACACACCAGAAAGGAAATTTAATCATAGTATATTGTGTGGCTCGGCTATAAATCATATTTAGATGTATGTGTATGTATGTGTGTTTAGTCACTCAGTGACTAAATGTCAGATTCTTTGTGACTCCATGGACTGTAGCCCACCAGGCTCCTCTGTCCATGGGATTCTCCAGGCAAGAACACTGGAGTGGGTTGCCATTTCCTTCTCCAGGGGATCTTCCCNCCCCATGGACTGTAGCCCACCAGGCTCCTCTGTCCATGGGATTCTCCAGGCAAGAACACTGGAGTGGGTTGCCATTTCCTTCTCCAGGGGATCTTCCCAACCCAGGGGTCGAACTCCGGTCTCCTGCATTGCAGGCAGATTCCTTACCATTGGCGCCACCAGATAAGTCTTTACAATAAATACAATAAATGTTTATTTAATCAGAATGGTGGGGACTCCCCTGGTGATCCAATGGTTAAGAATCTACTTAGCAATGCAGAGGACTTGGGTTCGATCTCTGATCGGGGAACTAAGACCCCACATGACGCAGGGCAATGAAGTCTGTGCACCACAACTTCCGAGCCCGTGTGCTTGTGCTCAAGTAGAGAAGCCCAAATGCCACAACTAGAGAGAAGCTCCTAAGTGCTGCAAATAAAGCCTGAGTGCTGCCGTGAAGACCCAGCACAGCCAAAAATTTTAAAAAATAAAAACATAATGATGCCCTCTTACACTGTTGGTGGGAATGCAAATTAGTACAGCCACTATGGAAAACAGTGTGGAGATTTCTTAAAAAGCTGGAAATAGAACTGCCATAATTCATTTCAATGTATGACAAAAACTACTGTAATGATGTAAAGTAATTAGCCTCCAACTAATAAAAATTTAAAAAAATAAATAAATAAAATAGCACTTTCCTCTTAAAAAAAAAAAAAACATAATGATGTAACTATATTATGAAGGAGAGAGTGTGGATTCTCAACTCTCATGAAAGGATGATAATAATAAATGATGTTGATGACCAACAGTTATTGAGAGATTATTTCATGCCAGGCCCAAAGTACATGTGTAAATTATTCACGCCTTACATGAGCCCCATGGGGCAGGTATTACTATCCCACATTATAATAAGAAGTCTGAGGCATGATGAGATAAATAACTTATTCATTCTTGTTCTACTAGTAAGTGGCAGAGTCTAGATTTGAACCCAAGTAATCTGGCTCAAAAGTCAGCATCTTATCTGTTATTTGATACCGTTTCTTACATTTGGATGATGTCATAGTGAAAAAATAAACAAGCTGTTGAGAAATACAGCTGTGAATATCAGAAGAAATAGCTAAAAAAGAACTGTAAGTAGCCACCTCTTGGGTATAGCAACTGGGCGTAGGGAGGGGTGGGACAGGAAGTTGCTGGGGAATTTTGCTTTACTTGTTTTACTTTACTCTGAAATGTTAAAAACTATTTGCATGCACTGTTTTGATTAAAATACAAATCGAGTCCAAAAAAGGAGCTTCAAATGGTACAAAGGGATCCCCCATCTCCTCTCCCCAAGGTATCCCGCTGGCCAGCTTCCTGTGTTCATCCAGACTATCTGTGCTCTGACCTGGGGGCCATACTCCACACACGGCTCTCCCTTCACTCCTCTCTTGGAGACGGTCAAGCATCTCTTGATGAGCATAAGCATCTCTCTGGAGTGTTCCACGGTGGCTCCGAATCAAGACAGGCATCCCGCCTGGAGGGGGCCCTGGGACAGCTCTTCCCCATGTGCTGACGACCCACCTGAACCAGCCACTGAGACATGGGAGCAGGGCTGTCAGGCCCAGGCAGAGCACAGAGCCCCGGGGCCTGAGCCAGAGGGAGAGCTCCTGCCCGGCTGCCAGGTGCCTAGAAGATCTAGAGGAGACCAGGTCAGTAAGCCAGGTGTCCCGGAGCATCAGAGGTCATTTATGCCTTCATCCTGTGATTTCTAGGTCACAGAGATGCCCAGGGCCTCCGGACTTATGGTGCTTTGGACATTGGGTCTGTGACTTTCCTGATGGTCCAGTGGCTAAGACCCCATGCTCCCATTTCAGGAGGTGTGGGTTCCATCCTTGATCAAGGAACTAGATCCCACATGACACAACTCGGGGTTCGAATGCTGCAACGAAAGATACTGCATGCTGAAAGAAACAGACATGGCGCAGTCAAATAAGTTTTTTAAAAACAGTCAGTCAGGCCCTCCCACCCTGCCCCAGGAATCTGCCCTCAGGAGTGGGCGAGTCCCTCCCTGTCCTCCACCCTGTCCTAGCTCCATCTCCCAGACCGCTGTAGCTGCTCAGTGTCGGGGAAGCTGAGTCTGGGTGAGGTCTCCAGGGTGCCCACTCACTACCCAGCAGGAGGAGGACTGGGGTGGAGTGAGCTGAATTTCCTTTCTATTTAAAGAAAAAAAACCCAAGTCAATATTTTTAGGTGCCCGCTAAGAAGCTGCTTCCTCTGAACAGGGTCTTCGTCTGCCGTGTGGCGGGGAGGTGGCTGACCCAGCCTGCAAGTTAGGATTGGAGCGGGGAGGAAGGGGGGGAAAAGGGGGGGGAGTCTGCTTCCTGGGCTGGTGCAGTTCAGTTCAGCTCAGTCGTCTCCGACCCCATGGACTGCAGCACTCCAGGCTTCCTGGACAGATGCTAACATCTGGTTTCAAGTGAAGGGTCTATTTCTTTCCTACTCAGCCAGTAGGTTTGCCTGAAGCTCCAGAAGGAACTTGCCGGAAATTGGTGGCAACTTGAACCCAGGCTCCTTCTGGCCTCTGGATTTCATTCTGATACCAGACCACCCAGGCAGCTGGCATGTACCAAGAGCGGGCTGAGCTCTGTCTGGAAGCCATATCTGAGAGACTCTGCTGCGGGTGCCTGAAGACACATACGTGATTGTCAACCTGCGCTGGTTTCTCTCTGCCCGAAAGGGACAGTTGCAAGAATGTCCCCCACTGACTCTGTAGCTTGTGCCGGTGTGGAGCGTGTGTGTTCTCCATCATCTCCGACTCTTTCCGACCCCATGGACTGTAACTTACCAGGCTCCTCTGTCCATGGAATGTTCCAGGCAAGAATACTGGAGTGGGTTGGCATTTGCTACACCAGGGGAGAAAGGAACGGTTACCCACTCCAATATTCTTGCCTAGAGAATTCCATGGACAGGGGAACCTGACAAGCTATGGTACTTTCACTTTCACTCCAGGGGATCTTCCTGACCCAGGGACTGAACTGGCATCTCCTGCATTGGCAGGTGGATTCTTTACTGCTGAGCCATCTGGAAGCCCTATGCATGTGTGGAGGTCCCCTCTGTCCCCCAGGGCAGCTGGGAAGGACACAGAGACTACAGCTAAGACCCAAGAGAGAAGATCGGTCTTCCCTTGGGACTTCTAGGTTCCGGGTGATCCCTGGGAGGTGGAGCTGAAGCCTGGGCACGTTGGCAAGTACAGGAGGAAGGACTGACTGCTGGATGGACAGCTTTGCTGGCAAATTGGGCTCCCCAGCCACACTCTCGAAGACTCTGCACTTTCCAGGGGCTTCCAGGTCATCAGTAGGCCCCTGGGGAGGGAGACCTGGGAGTCACATCCCATCAGGGCTGCCAGGACCCGAGAGAGAACTGTGGTGCCCTATACCAAGGTCACAGGTGTGAAGCCCTGTACCAAGGTCACAGGATAAAAATCTCTGGGACTGACCAAGCTCCATAGCAACTTTTGCTGTGAGCCTCTGGATCTAAACCAGCCAGTCCCCTGATCCCACATTAGGTAAAATACCCACCCACCCTATAGCATCCTAACTAATTACCTAATGCCACCATTCCAGTAAGAATTTCTTTATCTTGAAGCTCTGAAAATTTGGCTACTAGCCTGTGAAAAGATTCGACTCTCCCTCGAGCGAGCCTGCTGTTCTAACAGTGTCTCCCACTCTAATAAACTCTGCTCGCCTCTCATTCTGCCTCATGTCTGGAAATTCTTTTCCAGCCCGTGCATGGACCACAACAAGAACCATCCTCTGGGGTTCTGGCAGCTCCAGTTTCCCCGGCTTGTGGATCATGAAACCGAGGCCCACACACGGGAAGGGCTGAGCCGAGGCCCACAGCAGTCTTTCCTGACCCCCGCACCAGGCCAGGCTCTCCCCCACCAGATGGGGAGCCCTGAGGAAGGTTCCACCCCATCTGAGGCCCCGCGCACAGTGCCCGGCACACAGTAGGTGCTCAGCAAACATGGGTGGTGAGTGTGACATCAGTCGGCAGTGTTTCCTGAACACCTAATTTGAGGCTCCCCACTTGTGCAGTGTTTCCTGGCCCCCTGGCCTGCTCTCCAGGACTCCAGAACTGCCGCCTCTCACGGACTCCTGCTGGTCCCACCCCAGGTCAGCACTTGAGAGCCCACTTTGTGTGAGACGAAGGCCCCGGCACCCGAGAGACCCCTACTGTGTGATGAACGGGTGTGGTGGGGGACACACTACCTGCT